GTACGTTCAGCCGTGTCGATTCTAATTGATTTCGTAATCCATGTACTATTGAAATTTGAATAAGACCAGGTGTGTGTTACTGCTCGTGCCCAAGGGATCTCAGGGCTGTCAGAACTGATTTAAGGGCTTTTCACAGGCATTCTGAGACTGTCTCAAAAGGAATCAACCCTACGTTCAGCCGTGTCGATTCTAATTGATTTCGTAATCCATGTACTATTGAAATTTGAATAAGACCAGGTGTGTGTTACTGCTCGTGCCCAAGGGATCTCAGGGCTGTCAGAACTGATTTAAGGGCTTTTCACAGGCATTCTGAGACTGTCTCAAAAGGAATCAACCCTGTACGTTCAGCCGTGTCGATTCTAATTGATTTCGTAATCCATGCACTATTGAAATTTGAATAAGCCCAGGTGCGTGTTACCACTCGTGACTGAGGGATCTCAGGGCTGTCAGTCCACTTCAGGCACCTACTTTGGCCCATTCTGAGACTGTCTCAAAAGGAATCAACCCTGTACGTTCAGCCGTGTCGATTCTAATTGATTTCGTAATCCATGTACTATTGAAATTTGAATAAGACCAGGTGTGTGTTACTGCTCGTGCCCAAGGGATCTCAGGGCCGTCAGAACTGATTTAAGGGCTTTTCACAGGCATTCTGAGACTGTCTGAAAAGGAATCAACCCTGTACGTTCAGCCGTGTCAATTCTAATTGATTTCGTAATCCATGTACTATTGAACTTTGAATAAGACCAGGTGTGTGTTACTGCTCGTGCCCAAGGGATCTCAGGGCTGTCAGAACTGATTTAAGGGCTTTTCACAGGCATTCTGAGACTGTCTGAAAAGGAATCAACCCTGTACGTTCAGCCGTGTCGATTCTAATTGATTTCGTAATCCATGCACTATTGAAATTTGAATAAGCGCATGTGCGTGTTACCACTCGTGACTGAGGGATCTCAGGGCTGTCAGTCCACTTCACGCACCTACTTTGGCCCATTCTGAGACTGTCTCAAAAGGAATCAACCCTGTACGTTCAGCCGTGTCGATTCTAATTGATTTCGTAATCCATGTACTATTGAAATTTGAATAAGCCCAGGTGCGTGTTACCACTTGTGACTGAGGGATCTCAGGGCTGTCAGTCCACTTCAGGCACCTACTTTGGCCCATTCTGAGACTGTCTCAAAAGGAATCAACCCTGTAAGTTCAGCCGTGTCAATTCTAATTGATTTCGTAATCCATGTACTATTGAAA